GAGCAAAACCAGAAATCATTATTTGTGCGCTGGGGGAATAGTGTCCGGCTGGCTGGCTGAGTGTCGCGCCAAGCCCCTTCCTTGCCCTGCCTAACAATACCGCGCTGGATTGGCCCCCTCCCTGACCAACAATACTGGGCCACCGCCGCCACCCGTCCTGCCCTCCCCCTCCCCGTATATGTCCTCTGCGCCACTAGGCCACCGATTTGCAAGATTGCAAGCAACCAAACAGAATGCATGCAGAATGCATCTGTTCGTGAGGTGTCCCGGTCTGCCACAGTGGAGTCCGTATGTGCACATACGGGACGTATACGGAGGTATGCGGTCCGTACAAATGTATACGGTTTACGTGAGGCATGCATACCCATACCCGTATGTACCGGAACGCAACATCGTCTACATACGGATCGTATGTAGCGGTCAGATCATACACTGACCACATACGAACCTTATACGTTACCTGTATGAAAACATGCGGATCGTACATGAAACGTATACGGTTCGTACACGGGTCGGGTTTCACGGGAAAAGAACAAAAGGAGTGCAATTGTAGACAACATGAAAACTTACAACTAAAAGAAAAAGCAGGGATACAACATTATTGACACGCATACCCGTTGTTTTTAAGCAACTGTGCATTTGCAGAACAATGTTGATGAAATTTCTTAAACAACAAAAGTACTTTTCGAAGGTACCTATTAACAGGTATTTCTCCTGAAAATATAGTGTCTAAAGTAGTGTCTTGCCTAAGACGAATTTTGTACTTGAGATAAATCTGAGGGGTCCGCAAGTATGGTCTGCCGGTGTACACATATGGAGGGCTTCCTAGTTTTCCTAGGTTTTCCTAAGGTTTTCCCGGTCTTCTCAACTTTTTCTTGGTTTTCCCATACCTTGGTTTTCTGAGATTTTCTAAAGGCTTCCTCCAGTTTTCTGCGGTTTTCTCGCATTTTCATCGGTCTTCCCTCACATTTTCTGGTCTTCCTTGCAATTTCTAGGTCTTTCCTTAAGTTTTTCCGGCCTTCCCTTATATTTTTCGGTTTTCCGTCACATTTTTGGCCTACGATTTTATTGGTCGTCTTTGGTTTTCTTTAGTCTTCCTAGTGGTCCTCCCGGTCTTCCCAGTTTTCCGGGCGGCCAGTGTACGCGCTCGAACCTAGTTGCGGACCCCTCGGATACATCGCATTAAGAGTGACTGGCAATAAAATTTCTCATTGCTTGAGATAAATAGCATTTAGAGTAACTGACAATAAGATTACACATTACCTGTCGCATCCTTTATAAGGCAGGGGCAGGGGCAATTGACATTTATATTATTTTGAAAAGACGCACCGATTTCATGTTTAACCTTAATTAACACAGACTTGCGCTGTTGCCAAAGAGGTCTATTGGTCTGTTATCTGAACGCACGATTGCCATCACATAGAACTTTATGAGCTAAAACTGAACACAATAGTGCAGTGCGCCTCATGAATGGTTGTATGTCTCAGTCCCTGATGGAAGGCCTGGCGGATCGGGGCCACGAAGTGGTGATGCTGAGCTCCCTGCCGCTGATGAAGCCCAGAGCCAATTACACGGACCTTTCTCTGGCTGCGCAGCTGCCACCTGTCATCAATACTATGACGTACGACCAGCTGGCGAATGCTCACGGGTAAGTAACTAAAAGCACTCTTAGCTGCTTACAAACAGCAGTGTTTGTCTTCCGAAGAATTGGTATTTCTGTAATTTGGGGCAGGTGAGTTCACAGCACAGTGCCCACAAGAATGACAAGCAGGCCCACCCTTCCGCCAAACGCAGTTGCCAGCTCCACTTCGCTGCGCCGGCAATCCGTTCGGCAGGGGCCGGGCCTGTTTGGCCTGCCGGCGGCGATGGTCGGGCCTGCGGCCCAACCATTTCAGCCTAGTGATTTACTGAAGAACATAACCAAATAAGTAATGAGACTGATAAATCACTTTGCATATTTGAGTGAACTAACTTCCAGCGGGGGGCCTGCGGCCCTAGAGATTTGCTCCTTTCACATGACAAAAAACTGTAACGGGGCAACACCGTGACTACACCCCACCCTTCTGCTCAGCTTAAGAAAAATACAAAAAAATGAACCAGCGCAGATTTTAGATTGTATTGTTTGTCAATCAGTCTTAAAACTTGACTTTTCCCCATTGTTTTCAATATAACCACCTCGAGGGCCGAAACAGTGAAAGATACGGCAAATCCAAGGATAGTTTCTGATTCAGAATGTGTTGTTTTGGGGGGTTACTTCCTCTGACATTTCACTGATGAGCCAACATAAGCGCGTAAGTCCACCAACCCTAATTTTACAGGAGACACTTAAAACATTCCAGATTGAAGAATTCTAGTGGTAACCAAATCTGCTTGGCAC